ATTATATTTTTGTGAATCAGCGAATGATTTTCAAGTTTGATTTGGTGTTAAAGTTAACGTATAAGCACTGGCTCAACAAGACAAGACTTAAATACATAATTATGCATATATAGCTAATAGTGCCTGCGTCAAAACAAATGAAATACAAATTACCACCGAATCAATTGTATGTGCATTTTTTATCAAGACCAAATTAACAGAGCATAATTAACATTCAAGAAGAAAGCAAGCCTTTAGAAAGTTTTGTTTTTAAGAGTTATGTTATGAAGGGGTATTTAGATCAAACTAAAAAGAACACTCCAGCTTTGACTTCAAATATGCAAATATTATTTCCTCATATATATATATATATATATATATATATATATATATATATATATATATATATATATATATATATATATACTGTAAAGATGACGATATAGAACGTCAAACATGGTTGTATTCAATTAAAACTTTAAAGTCCTTAGTGAATGCTTTTATAAATATATTAAAAGAGTTATTATTGTGCATAGCATACAAAGTTATTGATTAATAACCTGCTTAAAATATATTATTCAGTGGAGGATTGAAGCCTTAAAACAGTGATCAATTATATTACTGAGCATTTATCAACAAATGGGCATTGAAACATAAGCAATCACAGCGTTGTTTTAAGCGTTGAAACATAAGCAATCACAGCGTCGTTTTAATCATTGAAACATAAGTAAGCACAGTGATGTTTTAAGCATTGAAACAAGCAATCACAGCGTTGTTTTAAGCTGTGAAATACAATCAGTCACAGAGTTGTTTTAAGCATTGAACATAAGCAATCACAGCGTTGTTTTAAGCATTGAAATATAAGCAAACACAGCGTTGTTTTAAGCATTGAAATATAAGCAATCACAGCGTTGTTTTAAGCATTGAAACATAAGCAATCACAGCGTTGTTTTAAGCATTGAAATATAAGCAATCACAGCGGTGTTTTAAGCATTGAAACATAAGTAAGCACAGTGATGTTTTAAGCATTGAAACAAGCAATCACAGAGTTCTTTCATGCATTGAAACAAGCAATCACAGCGTTGTTTTAAGCATTGAAACAAGCAATCACAGCGTTCTTTCATGCATTGAAACAAGCAATCACAGCGTTGTTTTAAGCTGTGAAATACAATCAGTCACAGAGTTGTTTTAAGCATTGAAATATAAGAAATCAGAGCGTTGTTTTAAGCATTGAAATATAAACAATCCCAGCTTCATTCTAAGCATTGAGACATAAACAATCACAGTGTGGCTCTATACATTGAAATATAATCAATCACAATGTTGTTCTAAGCATTGATTATAAGAAATCACAACGTTGTTTGGTGCACAGAAAAAAGCGATCACAGCGTTGTTATATGCACTAAACTATAAGCAATCACAGCGTATTTATGTGCAATGAAATATGAGCAATCACAGAGTTGATATGTGCATTAAATTGAAAGCACCACAGCATTATTCTGTGAATTGAAACATACACAGTCACAGGTTGTTCTAAGCAATCACAGCGTTGTTCTATACAGTGAACCATTAGTAATCACATCGCTGTTCTAAGCAGTGGACTAGAAACAATCACAGGTTGTTCTAAGCACTCAATTATAAGCAATCACAGCGTTGTTCTAAGCACTGAACTATAAGTAATCACAGCGTTGTTCTGTGCACTGAAATAAATGCAATCACAGGGTTGTTCTGTGCACTGAACTACCATCACAGCATTGTTCTACGCATTAAATTTTAAGCAGTCACAGCTTTGTTCTGTGCACTGAAACATAAACAATCACAGCTTTGTTCTAAGCATTAAACCAAACAATTACGGTGTTGTTCTAAGCACTAAAATATAAGCGATATGAACAAGAAGCAACGACAACGTGGCTCTATGCATTGAGACATGAAATCTCATGGATGTTCCACAGCGTTGCTCGGTACAACGTAATATAAGCAATCTTAGCTTTGTTCTCTTTATTAGAAAGACGGATTTCTATAATGGTAATTAGAACATATATAGATATCTGTATGAACGTGAGGTAAACGTAGTCCACTTTAATGTTTACTTTTGAAAACTAAATCTAATTCAGATTATATGATATAACGATCTACATTAGAAAAAAAAAACTATTTAAGGACATATATTACTGCCCTAATGTTGACATATTACACAATTACCTGAATTGATATATATATATATATATATATATATATATATATATATATATATATATATATATATATATATATATATATATATATATATATATATATATATATATATATATATATATATATCCTTATCTGACGCGATTATGTATTTTATAATAGGTATCTTTGTCTGGCGCATTCACCTCGTTGTATGCTATTTGGCGTTGTATGATACAATTTCGCCATTTTTTATATATTGCATTGTCTGACACGTATACCGATTTTATGATATATGGCATTATCGAACACGTATACCTGTTTTATGATATATGGTGTTGTCTGACATCTATCCGCATTGGATGCTATATGGCATTGTAGGACACCGTTTCCCCATATAAACTGACGACGAACAGTGCTAAACTAGTAACTAACTAGGCTGAGCTCTCTCTCTCTCTCTCTCTCTCTCTCTCTCTCTCTCTCTCTCTCTATATATATATATGTATATATATATATATATATATATATATATATATATATATATATATATATATATATATATATATATATATGTATATATGTATATGTATGTATATATGTATATATATATATATATATATATATATATATATATATATATATATATATATATATATATGGCATTGTCTGACACCGATACCCATTTTATAATATATGGCTCTGTTTGACACCTATACACATTTAATGATATATGGCGTTTTCTGCCACCATTACTCTTTTACCCAATGTAGACTCTGACACTAACATTTCTTTAGAGATACATGTGGTGAGGACGAATGCTATTTCAATGTTCATTGGTACTTCTTCAAAACAGGCAGTAAATATCTACTTCAAAGTCAGTTTTAATCGTTTTGTAATAATGTGTACACCTGTGAACTTTCTTTTCTTTTACCTCAAATACCGATAAGATAGCAAAGATTAGAAGCCTTTTTCAGGTTGTGCCTTGAACCTCGTCTGTACTATATTAATATGGCTAATTAACTCTGTAATGCCACCGTCACTTACAAAATGCAAGCTCAAGCACACTTTTACGTGCATTGAACCATTTATCCGATCGCAACGCGTTTTCTAAAATATAAAATTACTTTAAATAATCAATCACCTTTGCCAACAACAAAGTGAACCAAAAATATAACTACATGAATGACGAAAATAAGGCGATAAGTTTACTGTCACTTGAGAAAACACTTCTTATTAGTACAAAATCTCATAAGCTGACGTAAGTGTCGTTTTGCAAACTGTTGGTCTCCCTCACATTCAAGAACTCTAAATTTAAAAATTAATTCCTCTAGGACAGATTCGTTGCTAGGTTTTGATCATTTTTCTTTTGTTCTGGTTTGTGTGTGATTTAACTCCTCAATACATGCTAGCTTTAAATGGCTAGTACGTTTCATGGAGGAATAACATGAGGAAAAAAAACAACACCGGCTGACGGGAAGTTATTGGCAATCCTTCTTATATAGTTTCGCTGGTCGAGCCGAGACTGGAACTAACGCAGACAGGTTTGATGCGTGAATCACCTTAACATTTTTTTGATGTAACTGAGGTATATGATACAACGTAGCTGTCCCATTTTTATTTTGATTTATTATTAGTTCTTGACGTCGATTTTTGAAAAATAAAAAGGTATCTTGAATGTTTACAACACGTTATAACACCTTATTCTGTCTCTGTATAAATGTCGAAACCGACACAATCTGCGATTGATGTAAACTACTATTTTAGTCTGGCTATCGTTTTACTAAAATACGTATAAATTTACATACACTTGACACATTCAAGTTATTATCACATCTGTACGGAATATGTAGTCAAAATAAAATGACATTTTGCTTGGTCACTTTGCTTAGTTCTGGATAATGTTCTCGAGACTTACACTTAATCGAAAATAACAGTGGGAAAATGAAATAATATCGATTCAAGTTGAAGAATACAATATTTCTCATCTTGGATCATGTAAGCATATGTTCACCAGGTTTTTTCGATTTATGCACATGTGTTTCATTCAAATAAGACTATTTGTAATCAGACTGACTTTGATGTTTCAGTTATGAAGACGACAATGACGAGAGCGTCGACCAGTTTATATTTGAATTAAATTTAAGATATTACTGGTCATAAGTGTATAGTCATACATGCAATCTCATGTTTATGTAGCCTAAGATGTAATCTTCGTTGAAAGATTTAGTCGTGATAATTACACTCATTTAGTAAAACGCTAAAATGTTAAGAGATTACCTACTTTCGTAATTTCGTTTGTATTACTCGTTTTGATCCTGCTTTTGAACGTAATATATCTCGTATGCTTTCACTGACATTTGAAGTCATTAGGTTGATTGAGATTGGAATTTGTTAATGAGGGTGGATTTAGATCAAATCCAGCATTGCATATTTTTCAGATTTAAGCCGTGGATTATTTTCAGCAATGTACAACAGTGTACGGAAACCTATATGTGCCAAGTTGAGACCTATATCAATAAACATGTATTTGGAATAGTCTTAATAAGCATGTAAATATACACAGTATTACTGTTTTTTGAGAATAATAGCAAAGTATAACCGATATTCTAAAAATGTATGTATATTCGTAATAATTGTGCTGATATTCAATGTGTGTGTATGTATGTGTGTGTACCTGCAGTGTGACAGTTTATATTGATGTCTAGCACTGGGCATCATGCTCAGACATGTGGCATGATGTCCCAACCAGTCACATTATCCTGACATCATCCAACCAGTCCTAACACTAAACTCTTAATGCTGGGCGCCAAGCGAAGCAGCTGTTAGTACCATTTTTAAAGTCTTTGGTCTGACTCGACAGAGGTTCGAACTCGAGACCACCCGCATCCGAAGCGGACGCTCTAACCACTAGGCCAATTGAGTGGTCGATATTCACAGCAGATTTACCCTAGCAAGGTCAAATTTATTGCTAATATTATGGATATATTTTTATGTATGAATTTTATCTGTTGGGCGTAAATGGTCTTCCATAATTATACTAAAGTCTCCATTAAAGATGGAATATGGATGACGATAAAGGCATTTCAAAAAATAAGAATGACATTTTTTAAACTGAATACAAGATTTGAAAAAACATTTGATAATGTTCGCTCTTTGAATAATAAAGCTCCATGTTCACACAAGATTATATTCCTACCAGTGGACTTAAAAATGCATTGTATGACTTTAAATATTTTCTAATAACATCCGTGGAACTTGTGCAATTCCAAAGGTGTGGTCAAAATGTGTAACGTGTCTGCTGTTTGTTGAGTGTCTCTAATTTATAAATGTCATTTAATGTTAGCAAGTGTTTCACGCAGTTGTGTCAGAGGTTTTGCTTGTTGGGATTTATTGCATGAGACAATACTTCATGGAAAACTTAAAAGACAAGTCCAAATGTAAACTAAGAGACCCATATCTGCCTGCGCATTATGACACCGCAGATCAGGATCTATGTTATTTGAACTTTGACTAGACTTGTAAGGGAGTATATACGTATTTCAAATTTGCTGTAACAAATCTTAAACCCACATTGACGTCTAATTGCCTTTCATTACCAATCTATCTATCTATCTATCTATCTATCTATCTATCTATCTATCTATCTATCTATCTATCTATCTATCTATCTATCTATCTATCTATCTATCTATCTCTCTATCTATCTCTCTCTCTCTCTCTCTCTCTCTCTCTCTCTCTATATATATATATATATATATATATATATATATATATATATATATATATATATATATATATATAAAGTATATAACTCATATATCATCTGTGTTTCATTGATGGTGTACTTATTTTGTTTGTAAATAGCTCATTAAAAAGTTATTAGTTAATAGGATGGGATTTAGATAAAAGAAAGCGGTGCGATCTGAAACATTGATCATTAAATGATGTGCTTAAAACTGTCTGGTTGTTAATATATCGAGGTCTGCATAGAGTTTATTTCTTCAGTCAGACTACGGTTGCAAATTTCAAACAGCATATTTTCAGACAAAACTGTATTGCTAAGTCTGCAATATCATGCTGTACATTGTGTTTGCATATCATTGACACTAAAATATGAATACAGTCTGTACTCGCTGATAAGACGAGTCCAGCTGCAGACTGCACAGACCCTGTCCTGCCGTAGCATAATACGCTAGCAGATCTGGGCCTGTGCAGTTTGTTTGGTGTAATCAACAGTACAGATAGACCCTTATTATGAGAGGACGGATGAGGATCTATGTTGTTTGCAGTTGGACTCGGCTTATGAACGAATACAGACGGTTTACCTGGAATGATTACTGTATTTATAAAATTAATGATACATTCATTACGAATACTTATTTTTATGAAAGTCCAAAGACAGCAAATTTTGTAAAATGACATTGATTGCATAAGTTCAAAATCAAATTTAGTTCTTGTATCCTTCATTCATATACATATATGATAGTAGAAATTATGGAAAATAATTATATAAAGGTCATGCAGGTAAATAAAATATTTTATATCAAGTGGTTTGTCACAGCAAGCACCATGCAGAACAATCTCGATGTTTACGTCTTGAATCTATTGTTTGCGAATTCTTGAGAACAGATTAATGTTCATTATAAACGATATATTCTGATAGCTGTATGAAAACAGACTTGTATTTAGATTTCTCTATGTGCCATGAGTGTGGTTTTAGGGAAATCATGTTTAAAATGGGGTTTTGTATAGCATAAACGAAGAAAAGCGTCCCTTTATTCTATTATTCAAGAACTGAATGATAAATTGCAATGACTATTGACCTATAATTACATGCAAGTTTCCGTGTTGATATTCGAAACTGGTATCATCATATTACCCTTTATCAGATGGAAACAATCCTAACTAGCTAACTTTTTGTCTGGGCATGAAATTAAAAGACGTTGAATTTTTCTTGAAGCCTGTATTGTTGACTTTATATGTTTTGTACAACATTTTCTAACACATTTATTCCATTTTTACGGGATTTGTATCCTGTGTTATACATTGGTTCTTTCGTAATGTGCATATATTCTAACCAATTCTGTCTCTTTGCTTCTTTATTGAACATGAACAGTTCTTGGAAATTAGATCTGGAAAATTTAAGTGTGTGTACATGAATGCATCTGTTCTCACTCTTGCTAGAATGCACATTTATCAGGGTCCAATTTAATTAAAACATTTTGAGGTCTTGCTTGCAACAGAAATTGTTAACTCAAAGAGAACTGATGAACTATTGCAACGATATCTTTCTTTAGTTTTCAAGGATCGAACGACACTGTTTGATAGACTTCAAGAGGACGGAACGTTTACCTGCATAGCACCAATTATATAACCTTTCACTGTATATGTATTTCGTGTAATTGCTAAGGGAACAACGTCCATATTGTCTTGCAACAACGAATGGATTTATTAAAACAATCTTTATTATTTATTTATTGCTATATGATTTTATAAATGATTGACTGATATATTTTTTCAAGGAAGAATTGTTGGTCGCGAATATAATAAAAACAAAACACTCGCGACAGTATCTGAATATTTGAAATGAAACGTCAATCGCCATTACGATTCAGCTTACTCTTTACTCACTGAAGAGTTTCAAAGGTCAGAGATCATTCTGGGTAAAACATAACATTTCGAAGTTATTTTCGTGAAAGACATGCTTAGCAAGAAGAATCCGAGATAGGTTATTCAAATTTTGTTGCTAAAATGATATCAGATTCTTTCATATTTTTTGTGCTTTTGAGGTTTTGGACATATAAGTATGGTCATTCATTTAGATTGATCTTTTGTAAAGAGATATAATTAGCATATCTCCTGGCAAAGTCTCTAGATTACTTTCTAACTTTTTTCAAAGTATTGTACAAATTTACCAAACGTAAAGGTTCACTTTGTTTCTTGTAAAGAAAAGACACACTTCTGAGAGAAAAAAAACCCAAAATATTTTCATTACCATTAACAGGTTTTGAGTTTTACTTGTCTCTGTTCCAGTGATTTTTAAAAATAATTAATGAAATTATTCATTTTTCTCATTTAATTTTCACATACCTCTGTATTGAAAAAACAACGAGGTTCTAAATAGCCCTTATACTCGATGCTTCGAAGAAAGAACATGGCTTTAAGTGGCCATACTAAAATGCAGGTGACCGATTTGGAAAGATCACAAAATTGTAATAATGTTATTCTGTCATACATCTCATAAAAAAGTGAAACCGAAACTAAACACACTTTCATGCTGATAGAGCCTGTCCTGAGTTGTTAGTAGAACCTGGCCTGAGTTGTTGGTAGAACCTGGCCTGAGTTGTTGGTAGAACCTGGCCTGAGTTGTTGGTAGAACCTGGCCTGAGTTGTTGGTAGAACCTGGCCTGAGTTGATAGAGCTTTGCCTGTGTTTCTGATAAGGTCTGCACTGAGAACTCATCTTGCTGATTATATCGTAAGTTTGTTCACTATTAGTAAATGTACAGATAAACGATTATCAGGTGTAGGAAGTGGGTATTAGAACAACTGTTTGTTTTTGTCCAAGGTTATAATAAAACATTTCTGGTATACCAGTAAAGAGCTTTGAGTCATTAGGTGGAGTTAGATTGGAATTAGTTACTGGGTTGGCTTTGATGAACGAGAGAACGAGACTAGCGATTGTAACCGTTAATCATTTATGACAGTTCTTTAAAATTATCTGATCCGCCTTATGATTAACTGTTCCTCAACGAGTACGTAGCGAATTTTTCTTTGAAAAGTTACATGTACTGTTATTAATTTATTATATCACCGCATGTGGCACCATTGGCCACATAAAGTACCGGCAACCACCAGATCACTGCATGTGACACCACTGGCCACATAACGTACCGGCAACCACCAGATCACATTATGTGGCACCACTGGCCACATAACGTACCGGCAAGCACCAGATTACTTCATGTGGCACCACTGGCCATATAACGTACCAGCAATGACCAGAAGAATATATACATAATGGCTGAATTGTCTTTCAAATTTTGATACACAGTTTAGTTATTATTTATTTTATTCTTGCGAAAATAAGTTCAAAGACATAAACTTATCCCGTGGTGATACTTTAAAATGATTTAACATAAAAGTAGCAGTTTACATTCTGTATATTTGCTTTTATATAAGCCATCCAGCAATGATACAGAATAATAATAACAATACTACTACTACTACTACTACTACTACTACTACTACTACTACTACTACTACTACAACTACTACTACTACTACTACTACTACTACTACTACTACTACTAATAATAATAATAATAATAATAATAATAATAATAATAATAATAATAATAATAACAATAATAATAAGCTATGAGCGTTCATAGTTAGGTCGTAATGGGCACTCAGAAATCTTGTGGTTCATGAAAAAAGGAATAAAACAATTTCTGTTTAGGACAATGGAAAGACGGAAGATGAAGAGATGTTAAACTCCTGTAGTTTTCAGTTCTATTTTTTAAAATTGAAAGATAGAGGTTGAAAATCCTTTTATCTCAACATGCATTTAAGTATGCCTCAACAGGCATTCAAAAATACCTTAACATGCATTGAAATATACCTCAACATGCATTGAAATATGTCTTAACATGCATTGAAATATACCTTAACATGAATTGAAATATACCTTAACATGCATTGAAATATACCTTAACATGCATTGAAATATGCCTTAACATGCATACCTCAACATGCATTGAAATATACCTTAACATGCATTGAAATATACCTTAACATGCATTGAAATATACCTTAACATGCATTGAAATATGCCTTAACATGCATACCTTAACATGCTTTGAAATATGCCTTAACATGCATTGAAATATGCCTTAACATGCATTGAAATATACCTTAACATGCA